AGCAATAACATATGATCCAATAAGTGGTTCTCGACTGGGGGCAATTCTGTCCCCAAGGAAACATTTTTTGTTCTTAAAACTAGAAGAAGGTGCCAGTGGCATTTAGTGACTAGAGGCCAGGGATGCTACTGAACATTTTATAACACACAGGAAAACCCCTATTACAAAAACTCATCCAACTCAAAACATCAACAGTGCCACTGTTGAGAAGCTGATCTAATTGTACAAAGCCTTTACAATTTCAAGCAGGGGCCATGGGGTGGGAATGACAAATGGCAGATTCCAAAACAGCAACCTACTTTTTAAAATGCAGTTATATTTTTTGTTCATCAAACTCATCAGGCATTAGATTCTTATTAATCCACGTGTTTATACTGTATTGAGTGAAATTATAAAGAAGGGTGACAAAAAAGAAACTGCAAGAAACAGAATAAGTCATTGTTATTCAGAGAATTGTTTAATTCAGCACCTTATAGAAAGGTAGTGATTTATTTCAGTAAGTTACATTAGTCATCCTGAGTATTCTAAAATAAGACAACTATAAGCATTATGGTCAGTCTCTTAAGGCTTTTAACTTTTTAAAAATCTGTATACTTATTTTGGTTGATCCTCATATTTTATAGATTCACTAAAATCAGACATTGTCCTAAGTGATGCATAAAAATAAACCAATGGTAGAATGCTATAGGTTGAGACTTCCTTATATGAAATGCTTGGGATAGGAAGCATTTTGGATTTCATGTTCTTTCAGATTTTGGAATATTTGCCTAATTGTGAGATATCTTGGGAATGGGACTCAAGTATAAACACAAGATTGTTTCATGTATACCTTATACAGATTTTATATAGCATGTCATTTTATAGAATATATTTAATAATTTTGCATATAAAAAAGTTAATAATGTGGATTTTTATTGGTACTCAAAAGTTTTGAATTTGGGGGACACTTCAAATTTTGGATTTTCAAACTGGGGATACTCCACCTATATTAGAATAGAAAATACTCTTGGGTTCCCTTTCTCCCTTTAACTGACCAAAAGAACTAAAGAATTCATCCAAGTAAATTAGAAAGCAGACCTTTAGTGAGGAAGCACAATTCTGTCATTTCCATCTCTCTATTCCCAGCCTAGCGGCAACTCCTCAATCATAAACTTTCCTCTCTACCTAATATCCTAAGACTATCAATAAACATTTATTAAGCACCTAATGTAGGTTAGGCAATGTACTAAATATTTTGACATTGGTCAACAAGTTCTTGTTTATAAGCATTTAAAAGACTAGGGGGAAAAAAAACAGAACAAATGTTCAATAAAAGTAACTAATTATAAGTACATAGGTACTAGGAAGAAGTATGCATTAGACTGTCATACCTAACCTACCTCAGGTGGGAGGCATGAGGGAATGTGTGCTTCAGGGGATCCTTTTTAAGCTGAGACCAGGAAGACAACTAAGCTAGGTAAAGCAGATAGACTGAAACATTCAATTCTGAATGGTATGAACTACCATTTGAACAAGGCCCACAAAGTATGAGAGAACAAGGTGGGTTCCCAAAGCGTCACAGTGATACTTCCTAGAACTTGTATTTAAAAAAAGCTGGGCATGGTGTTGTGTGTCTCTAAGCTACTTCTGGAGGTTGCAGCAGAAGGATCTCAAATTCAAAGCCAGCCTGGGTAATTTAGGGAGACCCAGTATTAAAAAAAAAAAAAAGAATGAGGACATAGTTCAGTAGTAGAGAGCTCCTGGGTTCAATCCCCAGTACCCTCCTCACCCCTCACAAAAAAACATGAGTTTAAAGATGAGATGAATAACAACTATTTAAATTAGACTTAAACTAAGAGAGAATAGAAAGGGGAAAAAAAGAAAAAAAAAATGAGAAACAGGGAGAAAAAGTCATTCACATTTGTTTAATAAATGTTTTAAAAAGTGTAAAATCACTAATTAAGGTCTCAGAAAACAATTAACCTGCTTCCTCAACTAGTTCATGACAACCTGTACCAGGAATTGTATTAACAATTTATTGCCAACACCAATGTGCACAAGCTTCTTAATGCTTCCATTTTTCCACACCAATAAAGTTTATTCTTTAGGATATGGAGGTGCTGGGGGTTGAACCCAAGGGTACTCTACCAATGAGGAACATCCCCTGCTCTTCTTACTTTTTGAGACAGGATCTCACTAAATTGCTGATGCTGGCTTTGAACTTGAAATTCTGCCTCAGCCTCACCAGCTGCTGGGATTACAGCCTGTGCCACCATGCCTGAATCTTCTTTTTTGACACTTGTGAATCAGAAGAATTCATTCATCCTAAATAAATCTTCTTCATTATTCTAAAAAGTTCTAAGCTCCTACCTGGTTTCTAAGTGCCATGGAGATTACTGTATTATCTCCCTCCACCCTGGGCATAATGCTGTATTCATATATTTATTGCAACTTCCTTAAATGCAAGAATCTGTGATTGCATTGTTCTTAGTTATGTTATATCTGAAGACAAAACAAAGGCTGAACAAAATTCTAAAGCAAAATGTGTTTTCTGTTTCTGAATTTTAAAAATATTGAAGAATGACAATGTGAACAAACAAATATTGATTTAATTCATTCATCTTTTATTCTTTTGGCAAACATCAGATAATATGAGCAAAACTACATTGCTCACAATAGTTACACACACACTTTTTTTTTTTTGCTTTATACAAGCTGTAAACATATTTAAGTGGATAAAATTCTTGGCTAAAGACATATTCCAGAAATGACATATAATTTTCCAAATTAGGACAAAAGAAAGCTTATGTAATTTCCATTAGACCATCATCATACAGCAAACCAAATTAATATATGCTGCTTTTTCCCCCCCTCTGTAGTGCTAAGGATTGAACCCAGAGCCCTGCACATGCTGAGCAAGCCCTCCACCACTGAGCCATATCCCAGTATCATATGCTGTTTTTAAACTAATATCTGCCATTTGGGGGTGGGGGTGGGGAAGAGCTTTTTTTTTTCAGTTATACAAATATTTATCTGTAGTTTTATAAAAAACAGCTAACCATACAAATCTTGTTCATAACTGTACTGACCCTTTAAATTTTTTTAAAAATTAAAAAGGTTAGCAGAAAATAAGATAAACTGGGAATGCAGCTCAATAGTAGAACACTTGCTTTAGCAACTCTAGGCCCTAGTACCTTAAAAAAAAAAAAGAAAGAAAGAAAACCATATAATTAAGAATATTTTAACTCTTCTTGTTTAAAAAAGAAAAACACCAATGAGTTATTTTTAGAATACTTGATGATGGTGGAATTTATAATAACTAGGTTTCATAAAATTTTATTATTTCTTAATGCTGATATTTTAAAGCAACAGATTTACTTCAAAATACACCCAAAGCATTTAATATTCTTGGTTTCCTTCTTTTATAAATTTCAGATGCCCCCAAAAATTCGGATTAAAGGTAACAAAACAGGTAGCCTTCAGAATATATTGCTTGGAGGCAAAATGTACTTACTTGCTCTAGTTGACCACAGTCCTGACCAACTTCCTACAGTGTTAACTGCTGGCCAGGTGTGACTGAAGCCTTTTTTTCTTTGATATTGGAGATTGAACCCAGGGGCACTTAACCACTGAGCCACATCCCCAGTCCTCTTTTTATTTTTTTTATTTTGAGACAGGGTCTCACTAAGTTGCTGTGGCTGGCCTTGAACTTGCAATCTCCCTGCCTCTGCCTCCCAAGCTGCTAGGATTACAGGCATGTGCCACCAAGCCCAGTCTGAAGCCATTTTTAATATTATAAACACAATATTTCCTCATAAAAATTATAATGGAGCAAAAATTCCAATGTTATAATAACATTATAAGTTCCCAGATACTTGTTTGATTTTCTCATACACTGTCATTTACCTGACACATGATAAACAATCAATAAACACTTTGTGAATGAAAAAAATTCAAATGTTATAAACTTGATGCTAAATCTTACCCCCTTATATCTTATATTTCTAACTTGGGAAAAACAGATCAAACCAAATAGATCTCGTTTTCATAATATTTCCTTACATAATAAATTATCAGATACATTTGTATATGTGGTTATTATCTCTTAGAAAGAACACTATTGTGACTGATCTGAAATTTAAAATTAATAATTCACACAGAAAACTACTGCAAACTTATTTTACTATGAAATTCTTGGTGCCCAAACAGTGGCTTTCAACTCAACCCTTTATACAACATAAGAATTCTCAAAATAATTGAGTTGAAGAAAGTGGCATTAATAACAAAATAGTGTCAAGGGCTTTTATCTAATCCTAGAGAATGAGCAGAAGGGGACAGATCTTGTAAGACAAACTGGAAAAGAGAAAGAACGTGAAGTAAATGTGGCCTTGGCACCTTTTGCACTGCAAAATCCTCAACTTGCAGAAGGAAAAGAATGAGAGGCCACAAAATGTCAGTTAGTGGTAAAGGATGCAGGGAAAGCAAAACAGCTGAGTAGTGAACAGAAACCACACTAGAAAATACAAAAAATAGGCAGTTAAGAAGATAATCGAGAGATGGCACTAACTCCAGCCTGAAGTTCAAGAACAGCAAAGAGTAATAAACGAATTAGACAATGCTCTGTTATGTCTTGTTAAAGTTATACACAAATAAAAGGCAAATCTCTAATCTTTAGAGGTTTAAATTTGACAGTGAATATCTATTTACCTTTGACTTTGTCTCATTTCTTTAAACTTAATAACTGAATAAATATTTAAAAATTCTTAATTATTAAAGCAAGCTTCCTAGCTGCACTGACATGTTACATAAAAACTTCATCCCACTAATCCCATCAACACTAAGGTTACTGCAGTCAAGTTCATTTTATAAGCATTGATTAAATTTGCCATCACAATATCACTTTATTACAATGACAGAGAATGAGTCATTTCACTTCTAGAAAAATTACACTGAAATTTTCTTTGGAAAATTTTAGTAGTGGGATGAAATTTTTAAACATTTAAAAATGTATCCTTAAACAGAACAAAATATCCAGGATGCTATATAAATAAAAATGATAAAAATGTATCAGTAAAAAGGGTATGACCTTGGTCTATAAGTGATATTCTCCACATCAATTTTTAAGTTTCAAAATACCACTAAGAGGATACTGGTTAAAGTTTATCTCTGACATATTTCTAAAAAGCCTGGTAGTAAGCTTATTTTTGAAATTGATTTAAGGTAGTTGTGTTTTCAGTAGCATTTAGAACAATTTAGCACTTGGTAGCAATACTCAGATCGGCACACTGTACTAAAACATAACTGTGTAACATTTTGTAAACTAGCTGCAATTTTCAGTAGCTGTGTTCACCAACCGTGCAACAGAATTATAATGTTCTCCTAATCCATATGCATGTCTCATATATCTGAAATGAAAAAAAATGAATAGTTTTGATTAATTTATTACATATAAATGCTTATTATGCACATAAAACCAAGTACTGACAGTCCACAGAGGTATCATTCAATAGACTACATGATATTAGTTGAGTTCAACACTATTTGACAAGTATTGTCAGTATTTGACAGGTACTGTCAACAAGTGGTTCAATTACATAAGGGAAAATGGAAAGGCTGAGATGCTAAGCATTCAATAAGCTTAAATTTTTACCTAAACACAACCAGTAATGACTACCTTAGCAAGTTCAGCTAATTAATAAACATTAAGACAAGAATAAATCCTCTATGTTGTACTTCAGAGATTTCTCAATCCAAAACTCTTTACAATATGAAGGAAAAAAATCTCTAAGGAATAAATAGGCAACATTAATATATTTCAGCTTTTTCACGTGTTGGAACTTTATAAACTAGTCTTAAAATTTTGTAGCCTTTAGGAATAACTGCTCTTAACTCATGACCAAAATAAATCTCTTGAGGTTTAAACAATTACCTAAATCATATTTATGGACAACACTTGCCTTTAATCTAAGATAAGCAGAATTAATTCAGCTAAAGACAGTGTTGATTAATCAACACATATAACCTAAAATCTTTTTATAATTTTTTGTCTTCATTATAAAAATATAAAACAGTAAAAATTTTAAGGTACTTACACAAGTATTAATGGTTGTTTGGAATATTCTTCACCAACTACAATAGCAGGAGAATCTGCCTGTATTATCTCTATTGGTGTTTGTAAAATGTGAGACAGAGCTCTTAGCTATGGGGAGAAAAAATGCATTAGTAAGGAAAATAAAAATGTCAATCTTATCCCAATCATAGACTACTAAACATGCATATGTTTACACAGTCAGAACAAGCGTGTGCTCTGTTCCTAACCTGTAGTGGACAAATAAATATTTGTTAACTTAACAAATAAATATAATACTTATTAAATCAAAAGCAGGGATTCCTTAAACTGGCTACATAAAAGTTTTATAAAACCATCAATGTCAAAGTTAGTAAGGTGGTATGATGGGTAAATTGAGTTTAATATACTGGTCTCTATTTTTTAATACACATGAACATTTCCATAACAAAAAGAGTTTCTGCATACCAATGCTTAAACACCAGACCAAAACAATAACAACTGGGGAGTAGGGAGACACAGGGAGTTTATTTTTAAAAAACTTTTCAGATGGTTCCAATGGAAAACCTGTGTTGAGACCCCCTGTTCTATAATTTTCAAAGCAAGTTAAAATGAGATATGTATATAAATTGTACTGCCCTGTCAAGGAATTTCCCTCTGATGAACATATAGACAACTTTAAGTAATTCCACAATATAAAATGTAAAATCAAGAGTGTAAGGCCTGATGAATACATTACTAATGAAATTTAATACTAACATTTTGTATACTTACTATGACTAAACACTCTAAGCACTTAAACACTTTATATGTATTAATTCATTCAATCCTCAAAATGACTTGATGGGATAGGTACTAGTGTTGTTGTTATTGATGTTTGTTTTTTATCTGGGGGTTGAACCAAGGGGTGCGTAACCATTGAACCACATTCACAGCTCTTTTTATTTTTTATTTTGAGACAGGGTCTCAATAAGTTGGTAAGGCTGACTTTGAACTTGCAATCCTCCTGCCTCAGCCTCCTAAGTAGCTGCTGGGATTACAGGCATATACCACCACGCCCAATTACTAGTGTTATTTTAAGAGCCAGAATCCTAGGCAGAGAAAAGTTAAAAGACTTGTTAAAGTCAAACATTAGGAAACTAAATGACCATGCTGAAATGAAGAAGTCTGAGTCTAGAGAAAAAGTTCCTAAATAAATCAATTATCGCCAATCTTTGATCACAGTACACTTTATTTGCCACTTTATAAGAACATTACATGAAGAACACAGTCCTTATATAAGTTTTGAAAAAATATAAAAAATTAATTCAAGAATATGGAAAGAATTCTATGCTACACAGTGGCAAATACAATCCCATGCTCTATTTTGTAAAACACTCATTTGAAGCACATATTTCTTATGTCTAAAATAGGTTTTTAAAAACTAATACGGAATGAAGAATACAAAGCAAGCTTTAGAAATTTTAATATCCCTTCTAACTCTTCAGAAATAATATAATTTCTAGTTAAAATAAATCCACAGATAATTCATGAGTAAATGTCCTTCAATGGATATTTTTAAAAGTTTTTCTCAACTTAAACAGTTGAATAAACCTCCAATACTCACAGTAATGAAAGACATTATAAGAAAGTTCAAGCATTTTTATTCTAATACTAGTCACAATACTACTATAAAAATTTCCTGAGTTTCTGAGACCCAGCAGACAGACATACAAAACTAATGGGCATGGTTCCCTCTGGTGGAGAGGTACAAGTATAGCACTGCTAAGAAAAAGATCTGAGAAACATTCCTTTCACATCTTTGAAAAACTCAGTTCCTAAAGTGAATATGTAGAGCCATAGACTACTCAAGTCGACTAATCACCATTATACAATGTGATTAATAATACTTCTAGTTTCATCCATCTGGCATTTTAGATTACGAACTTTTATGCAGGTACTTCTTTATTTAATGTTCACAAATGCTTGATGGAGTATACACAGGAATCATTAGGCATATTTGATAATTAAGAAACAAGCTAAAGAAGTTAACTGACAACCCTAGGTCACATAACAGAGAAATGGAAGGAAGAAGTTAGAACTTCAACCCAAGGCTAGACTTCTTAGCTTCTTTCTGATATCCCAGATTGCCCATCACCACTGGGTCTAGTCAGGTGTTTTATTTTGTTATAATGAAACAAAGTTAACAGTAAGAGTTAAGAAGTAGTGATAAAAAGAACTCTTAATAGATCTTTATAAGTGACTGAACATATTGTTTTCTTATACATCAATTTTAATGCATCATCTAGTGCTTTCAAGTAAGTTAACTACCAATTAGGAATTCAAAACACAATTTTAATAGATGTGTTTTGGAAAGAGTTGACTTGTAATTTTACATAAAAATCATTTTCTATATCTAATATTAAGAAGTTATTGTTCTAATAGTGATGTTCATCAGCTGAGCCATTTTTTATAAGTCCACAATATCAAATATATTGGCACTAGCAGCATCACAAATGAAAATACCATTCCACCAGCTTCTCCAACACAGAGATCTAACACTGAGCTCTTAAAATGAAATACTGTTTCTCTTACTTAAGGTAGATACTTTAATCAAAGGCAAAAGAATATTAACACCCTATTTCTTGATCAGTCAAGAAATGGCAAATATACAAAGAAAATAAATTTTCAAAGAGAAATTGGGATCAGGTAAAAAATGTCTTAAAATTATAGAAGGGATTCAGAAATGATTTAACAATGCACAATCACTATAAATAATTTCAAACTTACCTCAAGTTGGCCTCCCCATGCAGCTGTGTTTACAATATCATCACAGTACTTTTCAAACTCTTCTACAGAGAACAAATCAGAATATTGCACTTAATAATTTTCACACCTCATATTACAAGGGTTCTTTTTTACAGCTCCCACAACCCCTGATGAAAATGCCTAAGTCATGAACATCTCCCTTCCCTACCACCTCCCTCCAAAATTTAATCTACTTCCCAGGTCCAGATTTAATTCATCTCACTTTTCCACCACCATTCTATCCAAGAGCAAAACAATGAGTTTCTGCTTTTCTCCCTCAACTTGAGGCCCAGAGACCAACATAAGAAACCTACTTTTCTCTCTTCATCTAATGCAATAATTCTCAAAACTGCCACTATATTCACTACCTTGACATGTGTTTTGAAGCCCAAATCTGCACACAAAAGAATACCATGAAAGACTAAAATATGTAGCCTATCTATAATTATGCTTAACCCCAGGAAAGTACAAGTGAGTTAAACTCCTTTTCTGGAGACAGCATCAAATAGTATCTCTACCTCTTATTTCAGAAGCACTTAAATTATTTTACATCCATATCAGTTTTACCCAAGGAAAGGGATTTTTGGATCAGCTCTGGGAGAAGTAAAAGACCTAATCTGAATTTACCATGGGCATGTTTTATTTAGACACTTTTTTATCCAGCATGTTAAAGTGAAATACAAACATCCTTTCTGCCCAGAGAGGGAAAAAGACTACAGGCATCTAGAAGAAAAACATGTTCCATGTGTTTGCTTCAATCACTGTTAAATCCTCAGTGCTCAGAACAGCACCTTGCATCCTGCCTGGCATACAGTGGGCTTCAAAGAATATAAACTGAGTATAGATAATGAACTCTTTTTTTTTTTTTTTGGTCTTTTTCCCTGATCAGCATAATGAATTTTTACCTCCTCTCAAATGTCCTACTATAGGCAGAATTAGGGAGTTTCAATATAAATAACTCAGTAATCATGTCAAAAATAAAGTATAGGACACTTTGTCATGTCATTTCTACACATATCAAAATAAAAAGCAAAATGCGTTTTGGATGCCAAAGAAATCCTGGTTATTTAGAAGATAGCAATGACCTAAAACAGCAAGAGATATGAAGAAATTAGTTGGCTATGGGATCTGATATGCTTATAGTCATGTGTAGGCCATACTTACTAAAGGAGACCTAATCAACTGTTACGTGTTCATTCTCATCCATTCTGTATCATGCTCTACTTTCCTCTCTGGAGGGCAAACTCAATTAAAGGAAAGTCCACCTTAACCTCCCATTCTCCAACCTATCCTAGCCACATGATTTGCTTCTATTGATTACTTTATAATCTGTGATCTTCTCTCAAAGATTAACTTGCCTCTATTCTGTTTTTTGAGGTACTAGGGATCAAACCCAGGGCCTTATGCATTTTAGGCAAGCACTCTACCACTGGGCCACAGCCCCATCCCCTATTTTTACTTCCCTGAAACCCTTCCAGATAATTTACTTGCTTTCCCTTTGATTTAAATATGCATTTTTAACTTCACTATAAATACTTTATATTAATTATCAGAAATATTGTAAAAAATAAAGCAGGTTATTAACTAGTTTATTTTTGGTCTAGCAAAATCAAATTTTCTCACATAGTAATCTTCCTAATTATAGTTCATTGAGAATAACACAAATTTCTCACAGTATAAAATAAAAGAAAATTAGTTTTCATAATCATTCTCAGCTTGTGGTCTAAAAGCCAGTACATCTAGTCACTGGTCAAAGCTTACCTCTCTATGCTTAACTTTATTAAATATGAACACATTATTTTCAATAATAATGACTAATCCTATTCCTACTTTTATCTCATATAAAATAATACACAAAATGGTTTGTATGTAAGAGATTTGAGTAAAGTAAGATATGATTGCATCTATTAAAATTATGGAAAGTAATTCTTCCTAAATTTTGTGATGTTTTCTCCTCATTAGGGCTGTATGGGTTCTTTTTATGCTCAGTACTAGGAAGAGCTTTATTTAAAAACAACCATAACCATTAATAAAACACAACAAAGAAAAAATGCATTACCTGGAGTATACATATTTCCTGAATTAGGATTCGTTAAAAATGGCAAAAAGTCTTCCACATGGCTTTGCATATATTCAGCAGTTTGACTTCTTAAGGCAGCCACAGTCACAGCACAGTCCTGTTCTTTCAGTTGATCCTCAATGGCTCTATACATACAGTGGCCATCAGATGGAATCTGTTTAATTTCCAACTCTCTGGCTGCCAATATCTGAGCAAGTTTTTCACTTTCTACATGTCTAGCTCCAGATAAGTTCTCAATTTCAGCTTCAGCTATCCTTTCCTCCCGCTCCTTTTCCAATGCAGCTTTCTTTTCCTAAGATGAGAATATAGGAAAGTTAATTCATAGTAATCAGGACTAATTCTCACTTATTAAGGGGATAGAGATATATGATTCTCAAAACTTTTTGCCATTTTTCTCCCTTCTCCCACAAGCATTATCATATTGACCATCCTGTCACTTGTAGAATATTCTACACCATAAATTCCTTTAAGTGCAAACTATTTTACTCACTTGATCTGTGGGCCCTATCATCTAGCTCTGTACTGGGACAAAAGAAAGTCCTTCCTATGAAGTCTATTTAAAAAACTAATACGGGGCTGGGACTGTGGCTCAGCAGTAGAGCGCTCCCCTAGCACCGGTGGGACCTGGGTTCGATCTTCAGCACCACATAAAAATAAAGGCATTGTGTTATGTCCATCTACACCTAAAAAATAAATATTTAAAAAAAAAAAAAAACTAATGCCAAGTTTCTAAAAATTTTACCTGCTGATTTTAAAGTACTGTCTTAAGATTGAGTCATCCTAGGCCTTAAAGTACTTCATCATATTCAAGCCCAGGTTAACCTAAGCTTCTTAACTTATTACTCCACAAGTGCGACATAAATATGCTCAAAACTTTAGAAGGGTACAGGCAGACATTCTTTTTATCTAGCTTAAAAAAAGTGTACACTTATGTATATATGTAAATATATACATCTCTCTTTATATAGAAATATGTAAAGATCTACAGATATCTATACACATATACATATATACCTATACACAGATATACATACATATGTCTATAGATATCTATATATGTATACGCACATATACATAATTAATAAAGTAACTAATTAAAAAACTCCTATTTACAAAAAAATTAAAATACTACAGATAGATCAAAGTTCTCCTGAAATACCGTCATCCCAGTACTTTCTCTAGAGGTTTGGTATGTATCTTTCCAGATTGTTTTCTGATGCATTTTAATAAACACAGCATACTTGTATAAAATGTAAAACAAATGCTTTAAATAAATGCTCACAATTTACTTTACTTATTCAAACACCTTAAGAGATCTTCCCATGAGAGCATATGTAAGGATGGGGTTGGGATGAGGTCAATGAGAGATTTGTGACACGAGCGATATGGATAGGTTGGAGGAGGAAACGATTTCTGACAGCTAAACTAGTAAAGATCACAAGTCAGACAGCACTATGTTTCAAAGGTAAAAACAGTTCACAAAGCTAGAGTACCACATTAAAATGTCAAGAGATGATATGGAGGCTAAAAAGATAGGGATATAGTTAATGTATATTACAAAGCATAAAAAAAAATAAAAGAATATATACAAAAAATCTGTAGTGCTTTTTTTTCTGGATGGTAGCATTAAAATACATTGTATTTTAGTGTGTGTGCTTGTATCTATGTGCTTTTCTTTAGCTTCTAATTCTCTACCCTGAGTTCTTTTATTTGTACACTCAGGGAGGAAACTGGTTTTCAATTTAAGAGAATAAAAATAGTTAAATCAAATTCTACAAATCTTCACATTTGTAGTGAATCACAGTGAAGGAGTTTGTAAACCAAGAGTAGAAAAAGTAAAGACATCCCTACTTTTAGCTCTAACTCCTCTTGGGGCTAAAGAAGTGAATGGGAAGCAAATTTCAATTAAGTCACTGCCACATTACTTGTACTATCTGTCTGTTATGTGCCATGTTAGATGATCTTGAACTGATTTCTAAGTTCCCTGAATCAAAATAGTAATATCTCTCTAACAAAACACAAGCCTGTTTAGGATTTACCCCCCAACTTCAACAAAGACAGAGGTTAACATGAACTACCTATCTACAATTATGAATCACAGGGCATAATATCTTAAAACACAAGATGGCACTATTACTTTATAACAAGCTAAGAGTTTCAGAGGGGAGAGGAAGAGTAAGCACCTTGGATATCATCTAATCTAAGCCCCCCGCCCCCCAATTTTCCTCTTCCAAGGAAACAGATGCATAAGGATTTCCAAAGCCATACAGTTGGTTAGACCAGAACAGGGGCCAAGAACAGAAAGCTCCATCTATTCAGGCATCTGAATCAGAATAAGAGTTGGAACAGATGGAAGCTGAGTTAATGATGTCATGCACTTTTTTGCTGGAGGAGTAGAACTTTATTCTATACACAAAACCCTAAAGGTTTCTAAACTACTAATCATTTTATTTTTTTCCCCTCATGTTTTCCTTCAGTATTCCCAGGTAATTGGGTTTTCTCTCTAGTATACTGGGTGGGAAATCCTTTGCATTCTTTTCTTTGCAATGTAGTTTCCCAACAGCATTAGACATTCGTTTTTTACACATCATACTGGAGAGAGAACGGCATCAATGACATTAAATGAAAATGTATATAAGATAAAAATCGCATGGAACATATAAATATTTTTAGAGTTCAATTCTAACTTCTACTTTGGGCTTTTGCCACTAAGCCAAAAAGCATGCAAGTTCTTTGAAGTACTAAAATATTCCTGTGTCTTTCCAGATTAAAAATAAATGATGTGCTCCACAATATTCTACAGTATTCTTATACAATAAATCTTCAAACATTTTTTGTTGTGGTTTCATACAAAATTGTATCTTTTCCATAAAAAAAAAAAAAAAAAAAAACACCATTAATTAAGTGATTTTTATTCCTTGGTATTTCAGCTAAAAGAAAGGTTCCAAATGATATAATACCAATTGTCCATCCTGATTTTGGACTCCATTTCTGTAAGTATCATAAACATTTAGGGTTTTCTGTTCCAGAATTCCATTAACATAACAAAGTATTAAGAAACTGGACATTACATCTAGGGCATTTTTTCTGCCAACTGTTAAGCAACTAACTATAAAAGCTACTAAATTTTATGACAATATAGCTGAAAAAGGTATTAACTTTAATTAGGAGAAAAGCAACACAAATTTTTGAGAAAAGTAAGGGAGTTTGTTTTGTTTTTGTTTTGTTGCCTAAGAGTCCAGGTAGGGATGAATAAGGAGAGTTATAGCTTTATGTTTTCTGGAAAAAAGTAGGCTATTGTAGGATGTATCAATTAGTAATCAGAAGTAATTCCCAAAACACAGTTATGCTGCCAGCACACAAAATTTCTAACCTTTTGTTTTTAATCTATAGAAACTAGGTGACAACTGTGAAGCCATCACTAAAAGAAAGCCTATTACAAATAGAGAGCTGAATTAGACAATTTCCAAGACAGCATGAAATCTACATTTCATTATTCTTTTTTTTTTTTTTTAAATAATACTTTTTATACCTTTTTTTTTTCTTTTTTGGAGTTTTTTTTTTTTTTTTTTTAATGTGGTGCTGGGGATAGAACCCAGTACTTCATGCATGCTAGGCAAGCGCTCTACCACTGAGTCACAATGCCAGCCCTACATTTCATTATTCTTTAAAATTCACAATCAAAATATTTGATCTACAATAAAATTCTATACAAATATGAAAAATGTTTGACTATGTACAACTTAACCAACTTCCAAACAAAGAGCTCTCAGATTTCATTTTTTTTAAGAGACATACTATACTGTGCTTAACACAGTGAACAACACTTTGATTTGTTGAACCATTAGGTCTCCAGGCATTGTGTTAAGGGTTCTGGCAGTATATTATTTAATATTCATAATAGTCATAGGAAATAAGTATTATTTCCCCTCATTTTAGAAACATGAAACTAAAGTTTAAAGAAGTTAAGACTCTTGTAAAGCAAAAACAGTAAATGAAATAAAAATCTCATGTGGGGCTTGACATGTGGCTCAGTTGTAGAGTCTTTTCCCAGCATGCATGAAGTCCTAAGTTTGATCTCTAGTACTGCAAACACACAGACACACACACTAAACTCCAAGCTCAACTAAATTACACACTACTAAAATGCAAAGCCAGCTTTAAAATATGTATTTCAATCCTAGAAAACATCAAGTATTAGTAAAATAATATTTGGAACTAAAAGAATTGGGTTTAAACCTTTTTTCCCCCCAAAGTAAAAGAGCCTTAACTATCCAATCTCATTCCCATAATATTAAGATCATTAACTCACTACTTCAAATAAATAAGTTTCTCTTTAGCTCTTTATAACACAAATTTCATTCCCACATTTGTTCTTATGCATTCTATTTCTCCTATTTGAAATATCCTAACTAAATATTTTTAGTTTTTTTTATTTTTGTATTTTCTTCAAGTTCTAAATCATCACTTAACATAATGAAACTTTCCCTTCTCTGAATCTTTATTGTAATTAACCATTACATAAATATCCACATAATTCTGTGAAAATTTTTTATACCTATATTTCTTGTTTAACTTCTAGGTTCAAATCCTTCCTTCATTACTTAGTACCATAGTTTTTGAACCAGGGTTATACATCACAATCACCTAGAAAAACACTCTACAGATTCTAAATTAAGCCTGGGATAATATATTTGTTAAACAAACACAATTCCTTTGCATTCCCCCTCCCAACCATCACCTTCCTAGAGAAGAGTAAACTGTATTTCCTATAAGTGCCAATTCACTGAGCACTAGCACTCTTCCCTTCTCTGAATGTTGACAGTACATATAAAATATACATCCTGTGCTTGCTCAGCTCATTAATACCTTAATAATCTTAAATGTGGCAGAGGCCCTTCTCCATCTTAATTAGCCAGAACTGGATGAGCACTCATTCTTGACCCTACTAACAAATGAGCTTTTCCTATCTACAAGTCTTATTTTAGGCCTATATTTTTCTCTATAAAAAGAGAATAAGAAATTCTACTTCATAGGATTATTGTGAGGACTAAGTGAGACTGCATATTTCACATAAATAGCTTGACATAGTATCTGAGACACAGCAAGTCCTTAATAAACCCTGACAGGAACTACTTTGTATTTTTTTTTTCTATTCCCTTCTTATACAACACCTAAGATAGTACTAAGCCTGCAACAGCAACATTAACTTATGTATTTGGTGACATGGCTTTCATACCCGTCTCTTCTGTGCTTTCGATATCCGAGGAGGCTGATTTTCAAGTGCCAAGTTTGAAATGTTATCAGCAACAGAATCTATCTGAAGGAAACAAAAAGTATTAACAAGTCAATTAAAAATACTTTAAAATTATTCAAGCATTAGGTCACTAAATTATAATGAAAAATCACATATACTTCCAATTGATATTTCATATTTGAATAGCAGCACTAGACATCAAATTAGATAATATTGTTTGTCTCCTTTCTCTATTTTTATGAGAGAATTTATTAAGAGTCCCAAGAAATCTCCTTACTGTTCTTCAAAGACAATGGTTATTCTACATACCTTCCTTCCTTCTTGGAATGTCTACCCCATTAATCTAAATACTGTACTTTCTATAATTGCCAATTCATTTGAGCATTGGCACTCTTCCCTTCTCTGAATGTTGACAGTACGTATAAATTATATGTCCTATGATCGTTCAGTTCATTACTACCTTCATAACCTTAAATGTGCCAGAGGCCCTTCTCCATCTTAATTAGCCATAACTTGATGGCACTCATTTTTGACACTATTAATAAATGAGTTTTTCCTAGCTTTTGCTATCTACAAGTTGATAATTATAGGCAGAAAATATTTATAGTACCATTAGATATTATAACTAATTTTAATACTCAAATGGCTACATATGTATTTGCTAAAGTAAGAAAATCAGATTCTTCATTTCTTCTATTAGAATGAATAACTAGTATTTAAGTATCTACACATTAAGCTAGTTTTTAGTATGACATATACATAAAACTCAAGGCCTCTAAGACATGCAGACAAAAATCTCAAGAGGCTACATCTCCCAATTTATCAAAATATCAAAATCAGATAAAGACTTCAGAGAGTGGTTACCAACTTGATTGAAATTAAGAATCTTAAAAGGATTTTTCAAAAGATTCTACTAAAAGTCACAGCAATATTGAAAACAGGCAAGATACAGAAAGGCATTTGAAAAACAAAAATCAATGATATAAGAATTTAGGTAGGGTTCAAAGAGAAAGCTTGTTTACTTTAATGAAGAAGATAATAAATCAAAGTAGAATGGGAATTTGTATTTTAACAGGTAAATATGTAGCTTAACCATCAAACATTTTTGTCCTTGGAAACCTGGGGAAAAATCTCTATAATGAAGGCCTAAGAGAGGAAACAAAATTATTTTGCTAACAGAAGTGATTAGAATAGCATAGTAAAGACGATTACGAATATCACAATCATGACAACACAATTAAACACCTGGAGAATCATGCCTTGTTTTCTGTAGATAAAAGTAATTATAGGACAAAGAAGCCCAGGATCCTGTTGACAGGCGAATAAAATTAAAAAAAGAAATTGAAACTATGTTTAATAAAAACTACTGTAAATCAGTATAAATTGCTTCCCTTGTCAACATCAAAAATGAATCAAAGAAAATTCAATTGTGGCAGAGAAGATTTTATATAAACATAAGAACTTCCTAACCACCAAAAATGGTGAGGTTCTAGAGTCTATGATCCTTTGTATGCAAAACCCTTGCAATAAACTGCTATACTATACAAGCTATGACAGTATTCAGAAAGAATAAGATGGTTCTGATTTTGACCTCTGCTTGGCACTTTATAGCTGTTGTGACTTCATAAAAAAGTTTTTAAATCTCTAACCATCTTTCCCACAGGAATCGTGGTATTATCTACACTTGATTCACCGATAATATCATAGAGTATTACCAAGGATTAAGTAAAAAAACACATGTAATATGTTAAACAAAGTGGTTGGCACATATAAATTAGCTACAATGATAAATATTAGTTCAAATGATGGAAGTTAGCCTGTTTACATTTACCCAAAAAACATCAGTAACATTTCATTTATTACAACTTATTCATAAAGCATTTTCATAATTTAAAAATGATTTCACATTTGTTGTCCCATTTGATTTTTATAAGAACTTGTGATTAGACAGCAGAAGTATGTGTCATATTACATGTAGGGAAATTTATACTCCAGGATAAGGAACTTTGGCCAGGTTAGAATCTTATACTGTGGCAATTCTGAGACAAGAAGTCTGATCTTGCAACTTTCATTTGGTGAAGCTTTATCAATCTGCTCATTTTCTGGGTAAGTAAATAGGTAAAGAAATGTACCTTTCTTGTTGATTTCCTTTACAAAAACTCACTGTCATGTTACCCTGGCCTCAAAAATATTAATAAAAAATTATGCATGAGTATTACTGAGTGACTTCATTTCTATATGAATTTCATGATTTTTGTATAATAAACAGTTGTTTTCAAATGATGTAAGCAGAGATAAACATTATTTCACATGCCTTATTCTCCTTGCAAGTCAGTCTCAATTGCTCCAGTTCCTCTTTATGTTTCTGTTCCATTTCTTTTTCCAACTTAGCAACATCTTCAGTGAGTTGCTTCCTCCTTTTTTTGTCATTCTTGGGAACAGCATTCTTCATGCCTTGAATTTTGGCTACAAAGGCACCAAAATCATTAAGTCAGGAATAAGAGAAAATGGAAAACAGTAAACAAATAGATGGGAAGGGGAGATAGGTACAGAAAAAAGTAACTACAGAAGCAAGAGGTCATGACATATTAGCTACAGAGAAGAGCCCAGATGATGCTTGAGACCATATAAGAATACAAAAAACAGCCTTAATAAAATCTTGAATTGGTGTAATTTATTTCGGGGGACAGGAGGAGGAAAATGGAAAAAAAAAAAAAAACAAACATTAAGTGAAGCAAGTTGTCAACCATTTAAGTATCCCTTCTGAGCCCTCCAAACTGAGGTGAGGCAATTAAAAACGCATCTAATGGGGGCTAGAGATGGAGCTCAATAGAAGAACCCTTACCTAGCATGAACAAGGCCCTGGGTTGTATCCCCAGCAAAGTAAACACACACACACACACACACACACACACACACACACACACCACTCATTAATCAGGGCAGAAAATGGGGAAGGGAGGCAGAGTGGAGTTGGGAGAGAATCAGATTTGGTCCAAGACTTTGTCTCCGCGGTATTCTCAGAACTAGCAACTTGGGAGGCACAAATTAGTGGTAGCAGAGTTCAGAAGAGAAAGCCTCTGAAGGCTGCGGGATTAAGGCGCCTCTGGTCGGGGGATGAGGGACAGAAAAGGCCACTCCTTACTTTGGGGAAATCTGGGAGGATCCAGGTCAGTCACCCCTTCGGATTGCCCAAAACCGATCTGACCCGCGCCTTTCCCAAGCTTCTAAATTCCTACTTCCTATCCCATCACCTTGCAACTCCTTCTTCTCTTTGCGATGCCTTCTCATCAGCTGCTCCTCCTCATCAAGCTCTTCGCTCAAGTCTGATTCCATGACGACCGGGTCGCCGGGCACACGCGTTGGAGAAAACCTGCAGCACGAGCCTAGCAGACACCTTCCACCCCTCAACCCTCACCCAATGCGCCATTGGTCGCCGCTGAGACCCAGCCCCGCCTTCGAGGCGGCACCAGATCAGAGATCAGCCATTGGAAGGTGGAGGAAAGTTGAGCGGGACTTTGCGCACGCGCACTACCTTGACCCAACTCGATGGGCGGGGCAGCGAGGGAGGAAGCGCGGAAGTGTAATCCCTAATTGACTATCGCGCTGCAGCCCCGTCGGCCGCACAGCTACGCGGCAGGCTATTGGCCCTCGCGGGAGGCGCGGGGAGATGACATAACGGGAACCATTTTGGATATTATTCAGTTTTGTGCGGTGCTTGGAAAGTACTTCGTCAATTTCGAACTTCGATGATTTTTGACTGCCTTTGCTCAGAAGAGCTGTTGGAAAGGTAAGAAAAACAAAACATTTTAGTAAAACCGTGGATGATTATTATTAATGGGGCTTTTGGGGCTACGTCCTTATACAATAGAGGATTAAGTTCGATTGTTTTTTTCAAGGTCGTAATACCGCAGTTCAGAAGAAAACCAACAGACCGTCCCAACCGAGAAGATGCCTCCTCTTGAAGCGGATATACCAGTGGTACCCGTGGAAATACAAGATATGGAAAGTATTAAGCGTCGTATAATAGAGGAGATTAAAGACCTGTGCTTAGTGATGAGGAAAGTTATGTCAAAGCACTTGGAAGGCTTCAGGGAGTTCGAGTTAACAAAAATGTGCAAGCCGGATTGGCCGCCAAGTGAGACAACCAAAGTAAATGCCAAACAAGAGGATGTAGAGAAAAGGGGAGATGAAATCAAGACAAGAGGAGAAAAAGAGAATTAGAAGGGGGATCCAGGAGAAACAGCCTACGCATAATAGAAATACCCGAAACAGGACAGAGCAAATGAAGCTGAAATAATAAAACTAACTAACTGAGGAAACTTTTCCAGAGTTGAAGGTCTGCAAATGGAAAAGGCTCACAGGGTACTTTTAAAAATTTAATGAAAAGGAAGCAACGCCTAGACATATTCTGGTGACTTTTTAAAATTTCGAGGATAAAGAAAAACTTACAGATATCCAGACAAAGAAAGCAGGTTACCGAGAGAGCTGCAAAACTCAGGCTGCCCTTAAGGTTTTTCTTGTGCAGTTCTAAATGGCGGAAGACAATGGAACGGTATCAACAAAGTTTTGTGGGTAAATCATTTTGAACCGGGAATTATATACCCTGCCAAGTTATTTTTTTTTTTTTTTCTGTTTGCAGGCAATTGGAAGATAGATATGCAGAGGTTAAGAAAATATATATCAACTAAGAACCTGCTCTGAAAATCTTGCTGATTTACTGCAGCCGGTAGAGAATGTGAATTAAAATAAGTAGGGAGGCAATTGTATGAAAGAATTAATGGTAAGCATTAAAACTAGTTAAAGAGCATTGCATTTCCTTTGTTACATGTAAGGTAATAAAGCTAAATATAAAAATAGATTTGTAAGCAGCATGTAAAATTTTTAACTTTATAGTTTTAAGCTGCCAAAAGGCAAGCCAAATACTCAAATGTATTGGTCAAATATTGTTTTATTTTTGCCATGTAGTATTGTAGCTAAAAACACATGTTGTTAAGAAAGAAAAGGGCTTTGTCACTGTGGAAAGGACATGTACAATAAAATCTGACAAAAGTTGGAAAATGGCAGTTTTATTTCCCTATATGTTTAATTATAGAGTGAAAAACAAAAACTGACAAGTTTGTCCTTATGTATCAGTATCATTAATATTGATAATGTAGGAAAAAATATTCCAAACCACTGGTGGGGAAGGCTAGATAAAACCTTGTTTCATATACTGGATTGGGAAAAACAATAGTTACTCTGTCATACAGTGGTTGATGTAAGTTAATTTGTCATGAAATTATGGACAAAAATATAATATATACATTCCAAGTCAGTCTATCTTATGCATCAGCGTTGCCTGAAAACTTACTAGAAGTGTGGTATGCTAGGTCAATAGCATCATGGTATTAGATTATGAAATACTAGCTAAGCATCTTCAAGACTTTTCCCTTAGCACAGTGCAGCATACATTACAGATACTCCATAAATGTTAATCGCTATTGGTATTAACTAGAAACAGTTTTGCTTAAATAGTAGTATTGTAGAAGAGATTCTAAAATTTTAATCTATATTTGAATTAAAGATTTGGTCACATTTCACAAATATTCCAGTTGTTAACTTTTGGGTAGACTTAATTCAATCCATGTCCTGATATTTCCTAGGTTTCTGGATAAAACCAAAGATCTATCTATAAAAGTAACCAAAGACCTGAAGTAATCATCTAATTGGTGACATAGATAAATAGAAGTATTGGCAATAATTGCAACAGTAGCTCTAGTAAGTTATGAGCCTTTTTAAATTCTCCAATGATGATCTCTGAAGGTGATACCACCATTGTATTAGTAAGCATGGACTAACCCAGTGGTTTTTAAGCTTGAGTGTGCCCACCAATTGCCTAAAGATTATATTAAGATGCAGATATTGATTCATTTTGTTTGGATTAAGATTTTTCTTCTAAACTCCTGTGTGTTGCTAATGCTGTCTTCAGAGTTCCACACTTTGAAGTAAAACAATATAAAACCTGTACTTATATCTATTGACCATGAAAACAAAGCTCAAAGCGGTATTTGGCTTAAGTCATGTGGTAAATATCAAAACCAATTCTGATTCCAAGACTAATTTCCTTCTCATAATTTCTTCCTTCCTTTCATCCATCCTACAGCATCTTTTCAAAAGATTGTTGTGAAAATAAGTGATATAATTATTAATCTGTTTGAGAAGGAAGAGAGCTCACTACTTCAGACAAGTTATACTGAAAATGGTGTTTCATAAAGAGGAGAAAATGAGTTTTGTTTGGAACATGTTAAGCAGGCTTTGTGAGAGCGACGTATATAGACAGATCAGACAGGTATTTGCAAATTAATTTCAAATTTCACTTTATTATTGACTAATACAATTTCAGTGTTAAGAAAAAAACAAAAGGAAATAAGAAAAGGAAAGGAGATTGAACTTTTAAGGAACACCTGTATATAAGGGGTAGTCATATTTAGATTTGCACTTCAAATTGAATTAAATATTGAAAATAATGCATGGTAGTCAATGCTATACACAAGTAATCAGAAGTATGGGGAGATTGTGTTAGATTTGTTTTTTAATTTATAATTTGTGACCTATTTTTAAAAACCTATAATGACATACCCATTTTTCCTTTATATGATTCAAAGTAGTTCACTACTTCATATCTGTGTGTAGTTGATATCAGTGGTAATGTTCTATAAAAACACTCAAAAATATATTTAGTTCCTGGATGCAGTGGTGCGCACCTATACTCATAACAGCTCAGGAAGCCGAGGCAGGAGGATCCCAAGGCCAACCTGCACAATTTAGTAACAACCTGTCTCAAAAATAATGTAGCTCAGTGGTACAATACCCTGGGTTCAATCCCCAGCATGGGGTTGGCAGGATGAGGGAGTGGAGAATTGTGAAATTATTGACTCCTGAATCATGGCAACTGGAAGAAATACAGAATTGGATTCCTGGGAGCCTCCTCATATGATTTTTGTCAACCAATCAATACCTTGTTTCAAGAGAACCTTAAATATGTTTTTGATTCATTAACCTTGAACTCAGATCCAACGTTGTAACTTAGTCCATAACAGTTTTTCTAACAAATTATTAAGGTATATCATAGCCACCTTTGTGCTTAGGGGCAACTAGATAACACTGTGCTTGAAGGAGACATTTTAAACAGCAAAATCGCAAAAAAAAAAAAAAAATATATATATATATATATATATTATTGACTAATACAATTTCAGTGTTTGGGGCTGGGGTTATGGCTCAGTGGTAGAGTGCTTGCCTTGCATGTGTGAGGCACTGGGTTCGATCCTCAGCACCACATAAAAAATAAACAAAATGAAGGTATTAAAAAATCTACCAAGTTAAAAAATATTTTAAAAAAAACAATTTCAGTGTTAAGAGACCAAGTTTGCTTTTTATCCTGTTAGATTTCTTGAGCTAAATACACTTCTTGAAATACCATAGGTAATAAATATGTTTACAATCCATAAACAAAATAATTGTAAATAAGGAGAATAGAAACTGCTTTAACATTTTTAAAAAAGTATGTGCACTAAATATAATAAATGGAATGATTCTCTTTTCTGAAATATTAATTTGGAAGTAGAAATGTACCTTATTTCCACTTTTCCAGTAAAATGTCAACCAAATAATCGAATCCCAGAGTCATCACAGCCTTGGGTTTAGATTTTTCAAAATTTGGATTTTAAAAAATTCTCCCTACTCTACTGATGAGGAAGGTATTTCCAAAAGAAACAACTTACTCCTGACTCTTTGTTTATTAGTGTTGTCTTTTATTTGCAGTACTGGGGATTGAACCCAGGGATGTTCTACCACTGAGCCACATCCTAAGCCCTTTTTATTTTTTGAGACAGGATCTCACTAAGTTGCTGAGGCCGTTCTCAAACTTGAGATCTTATTGCCTCAGCTTCCCAAATTGTTGGGATTACATACAAGCAGCACCATACCTAGTAATAGTGTTACCTTGAACAGGGATTAGCAATCTCCCATGCCACAGGAGATAGAGAATATAGCTTTGTGACACCCTTGCCACCAAGAGATGCAGTGTGATGCATTATTTAAAGCAGATGTTGGTAGATTCCTGGTCCCGATATCTTGTGAAGAGAAAAATGAGTGGCAAATGAAAACAGGTCATTAGCTTCAGGTGAGTCTGCTAAAGATAGATAATTCCTTATCAATACCTGAGTGTCCACCCTAGTCAAAACTTAAGAAGAGATGGGTTTTGTCTTCAGTATCCTCTCTCCTCCCCTTTATTGTCCCTGTCCTGCCTTCCCACACTCTTTCCCACATGCTGCAGGCAAATAAAGTGTTTGCCCTATTTTTTTTTTTTTTAAAGAGAGAACGCGAGA